AATGCGTGCAAAGGGGCTCAGTTCATTGCCCGCTGCTCCGGGGATGGGGTCTGAGATCCCTGGCAGTGGTGGGAAGCAGGGTCCTCTGCTTGCACGGGGCAGGGGCACAGGGACATCGGTGTGGCAGCACAGTCTGCCCACACTGGGCCTGCTGCCCCTCAGCATTGCCTGTCCACTTGTGCACTGAGTTCCCCTGTGCTCAGCCTTGGTTTCTGTGAGATAACTGGGGGTTTCACCAACCTTTCCTAGGGGGAATGGAGTGTTTCAACCCCCTGCTCACCATCAGCTTTAAGAGCTTGCAGGGAGATGGGAACAGCCGGATGGGAAGGATACAGCTTCCCAGAGGGATGGGAAATAAACTTGGCATGGGTAACGTGCTCTCCCTTTTTGAAGGCCAGGATGGCTCCTCTGCTCTAACTGGGGAGGCCAGCACAGTGCCCAAGGTCCATGTCCAAGTGATGGTGGGACCGGCCCTGGGGAGCTGCAGCGAAGATGTCTGAAGCCAAGACCCTGACGTGCCCTTGCCTCGTGCTTTCCATGCTCTTTTGGTGCTGGGCTTTGCTCCAGCCGGGCCAGGCTTTTCCCAGCACCTCCGACTACCTGCAGCGGGGCTGGCAGCGGCTGCTGGAGGAAGGGGAGGACTGTGGTGAGTGCCGGCCGGAGGAGTGCCCGGTGCCGCGCGGGTGCCTGGCCGGGACGGTGCGGGACGCCTGCGACTGCTGCTGGGAGTGCGCCAACCTGGAGGGGCAGATCTGTGACCTGGACAACACCAACCACTTCTACGGCAAGTGCGGCGAGCACCTGGAGTGCCGGCTGGACGCCGGGGACCTGCGGCGCGGAGAGGTGCCCGAGCCCCGCCCCGACGCCACCCTCACGGTGGCTCAGGAGGGGCGCTGCGAGTCAGGTAGCGCCCGGAGCCGCTGCGGCAGTGGGAGGGGGGTCTTGTGCCCTGGGGAAGCATCTCCTCCTCGCTGCAGCGCAGCATTGGGCTCTCCAGATGTGGAGGGATCTGGCTTCTTCCAGCTGTGCACAGGCGCATGGGCTGCTCCCGGCTCTCAGCAAGGGACAAGGAGGGGGACCTGAGATGATTCTCCTGGTGGCAAATCTGCTGCATCCCCCTGGATGCAGTAGCCTGCACCACTGCTGTGTGCCCGTAAGGCTCAGCGGACAGGGAATGGATACACGGATCCCAACCGTGGCAGGTCCCACCCCAGGAGCCCCTGTGGCTCTTTCCTCTCTGGGAAACCTGTGCAGATCCAGCTGGTAAAGGGCTGGGAGCGGCTGTGCCAAGACTGTGCAGGATTTATGGGAAGCAGAAAATCCTGCCGAAATGCATGGGAAAGTTCCAGGGAATTGTTAGTGAATTCTTGGCTTCGGCACGGTGTTGCTGGAAGTAGGGCCGACAGTGCACGCCGCCTTGTCGCTCTCGAGAAATATGTTTTCCCTGCTCCCTCCCTGAGATCTGCCTCCTGCAAATGGAAACCTGGGTCAGTTGAATTTGACGGCATCCTTTCCATCCGTGTTTAAAACCCTCCTTGGGCTTGGGGGCCATATCCAGGGGGGAAAGTCTGTTCTTGGGAGGCCCCACGCCGGTGTGGCTCAGGTCAGTCCCACAGCCCAAGGGTGGCCAGCATTGCCTTTATTTTCTGTGGCTCCTTGTCGTTTGAAGCTGTTGTCCTCTCTTGCCTGATGAGACAGGACCAGTCACGCCAAGGGTCATAGAATCATAGAATCAGGATCCCTCTGCCAGGCCTGGCTGTGGGGACCTCGCTGGTACCACCAGGCATCAGGGGACCCGCAAAGTCTTGAGGGACCAGCTGGGCTGTGCGACCTCTTCCTCTACAGCTCTAGTGTCTTGGCTGAGCCCACACTGACACCTCCTATGTCCCCCTCCATCCCTCAGAGCCTCAGATCACCTCTCCTCCCTACGATGCCTGGAATGTCACTGGGCAGGATGTCATCTTTGGCTGCGAGGTCTTCGCCTACCCCATGGCGTCCATCGAGTGGAGGAAGGATGGCACCGAGATGCTGCTGCCAGGAGATGACCCCCACATCTCTGTGCAGGTGAGGGGCTTGCTCAGAGCTTGCACCAGTGTGGCTGAGCCCTTCCCAGAGCTTCTGGGCCACCGCTTCCGCCACATGGTCACCCTTTGCATGTGGTTGAACCTGGATGTCTCTGAGGATCTCCTGAGGCTCCTTCCAGATGGAACTGTCCCACACTCCTGCGAGGAGGCTCAGAGTGTCCCTGCGGTTTCCATGCCTCCCCTCCTATGCTGGCACACCCAGAGGGGCAGCAACCAGCCCACGGCTGGCCCCGAATATAGCAGAGAGGAAGCGCCCGTGGTGGCCTTCCAGGAGCACCCGGTGATTAGAGGGTGTGGGCAGCAACACGGGCAGCACCAGTGCTGGGGACAAGCGAGGAGGAGGCAGCGGTTGGGCGGACGGGGGAGCCAGGGAAGCAGGCAGGAGCCCACGCTGTCACGGGGGAGGTGGTGGTCTCCTTCCATCAGGTCTGATCTTCATGCAGTCCATCGCAGCGTCCAGCCAAGGACCTTCCCTCCAGACAGGGCTGGCCGGTGTCGAGTGCACTACGAAGCTCAGCTGTCCCCCACCCTCGGCCGTAATAGCAGCCTGCAACACGGCTACCGCCCAGCTGGGTCAGGAAAAGGTTATTTCTTGCCGGAGAAGATTGCGTGCTTGGAGCTGCCCTGGGTCCTTGCCGACTCCCGAATCCAGGGATTCTGGTCTCCTCCAGGGCTGGTGGTGCCTCATGCAAAGCTCTGCAGTGTTTGCAGGGGCTTGACCGCTCTCCTGCCCATGTCACTGCCAGTGTGGGGGGG